CGCGTGTCTGTGTGTGTGTGTGTGTGTGTAACTATCTTCTTACTGGCTTCCATTTTATGCTGAAATTGTATCCTTCTCACTATTTCCTTATTAAAATATTCCTTCTTCCTCTTTAATGAAATGGTAGTGATAATAGATAGTTATTACATTTAAAAATGTCTTTACTTGTCAAAATAGGAAAATTGGCAACCCAGTGATGACGTTCCTCCCTCCCTTTTTTTCTAAAATTTTATAGATTCCAAGGAGTGGAGTTACTGATTCATATTACAAGTTAAGTACCTTTTGTTCTAAAGGTCCCTTCTGCAAAGTAAAAGACCTGAAGCCTCATAAGAAATCTCCCCTGAGAGTAGTCCTTTGATTTAATGAATCTCTTGAATCGAAACTAGTCCAGTGCCGAGAAGTAATCTATGGTTTATCATCTTGGAGAACTTGCCTGTTACAAGGAAGAGCTAAACACATAAATGTGTCAGTTTTGTCAATGTGACTTAGTGGTCACTTCCAGTTATACTTTGCCCTAATTGTTATTGATGAAACCTGGGGCTATTGTGGTTTAAATCTGTGTAAGTCGAGTCTAGAAATACCCTGGTTCTGAGGATGAGAATAAAATAGTTTGCTCTAAACTTTTAAACACCAAAATGAACAGAAATGTCATGTTTTCATCTTCTGTAAATTCATAAAATTACGTAGGCTGTAAGATATTAACAAAAGTACATAGGTGTTTTTTAAACTGATATTTCTAGAAAAACATTAAGGTGCCAATGGAAATACATCTCAATTGGGAAGAATGCTGGGCTGACTTTGGCCTTAGCCCTGTCGTTGCTTAGCTATGGATTCTTGGTCAAATCACATGATCCTTCTGAACTACAGTTTCATCATTTTTTAAATGAGGTCTTTGGACCCTTTCCAAGGCCCCATTCAGCTCTAAAATTCTTTGTCTTTAACCTCTGACATCAAGATTTTTTCCCCTAAGTAAGCAGCAGGTGGTGGTGTGAAAGTAGAGAATTTTTTTTCTTCTAGTTTTGTTGAGATATAATTGACATACAGCGCTGTATAAGTTTAAGGTGTACAGCATAATGATTTGACTTACATCCATCATGAATTGATTACCACAATAAGTTTAGTGAACCTCCATCATTTCATATAGGTACAGCATTAAAGCGATAGAAAAAAATATTTTTCCCCTTGTGATGAGAGCTCTCAGGATTTACCCTCTTAACAACTTTCATATATAACACACAACAGTGTTAATTATATTTATCATGTTGTCCATTTCATCACTAGTACTTATTTATCTTTTTTTTTTTTTTTTTTTTTTTTTTTTT